CCAGCAGCAGGTGCCACAATACTCCAGACACACTGTCCGACTTCTCGTTTTCTCCTCCTCGACGTCGTATGTTTTAGAAAGGTGTGAGACACCTGCTAATGCTCTCATTGAATTCAGAATTTGTCATCATTGCCCTGCTTTTGTTTTCTAGTGGTCTTTTGAAATCCCCGTCTTCAACGTTTTTTGTCATTTTGGCCGTTTGTTTTGCTAGAGGTATTTCGGATTATCAACGCCATCTGTCTCGGAAATCATTCCGTCGCGTTAAAACTCTCGCCCGTGATTTCAAAGCATTTCTTATGGTTGACTGCTTTATTCATTTGCAGGCTGGTGTCCCGTTTTGTTGCGAGAGATCGGAAGTGGTATGTGGTAGAGCGCCTCAATACACGGGCCTTATCTAACTCTTCAACGTCGTCTACGATTTCCAATGGCCTCTACATCCTCCGGGCAAGGTATGTATGCATTACACATCATTATCAACCGGGTTTATTTACATAGTGTAACGAGCTACTATTCGTAATCGTAGCTTGAAATCATTTGGAAAAGGCAAGTTGCAGCCTCATTCATTTGGCGCAACTTGTCAATTTGTTTTTAATTTTTCATTATAAAATGTCGATGTTGTTATCAAGAGTAGATATTTTTGCAAAAAGTCATGTAGACTGGGATGCTCTATTCCCTAATTCGGCGCCACTTGTGATTATTCATTTATAATGGTTGTTATCTTGACATGGCTAGAAACGCGTTTTTCGAAGTGCTACGCCAGCCGACCTTATGTTGTAATAAATTTGCAACAATATTAGTGAAGGAAATAGAGAAGGGAGAGAAACAAGACCTTCCACAAGGCACATCCCAACTGTCGGCAAACGGGTGAAGCGGGTGTTAGATGGTCGAGGAAATGGTGTGAGGGAGGGACGGTAGTTATATGAGCGCGGATGAATTTGTCATTTTACCTAGCTATTATCCTCATAGCAATTGCGCTTTTTTTCTAGAAGCTTTCAGAATGATTTATTGACTAATTTTTTTGTAAAATATGTGTAATTATTTGGTGTCCCGCCTTTTTGCTTTAGCTTTTTACTGGTAAATATTCAGATACTTCTAATAATCCGAACAACTCGCAAACCGCTGCGAAGGACACGAAGCAGTATACAGAACGTGTTGTGAAAAGTAAGTTCATTATTTCTCTCGTTTGCAGCATAGCATTTTCAAGAGCCAAATTAAATTGGTGTTATTTTTTGGATTTTTCTTTTTTTGTTCAAGTTATTTTGTGGTTTTCAATGTTGCTAAAATAGTTTATTTTGCTGTTGATGACGCAAAACTTAAATGAGTGATTGGATAGAGAGCGTACAACAGACGGAGAACGGTGAGAGAAGCGAGTTTGCAATGAGTACAATTGATAGAACAAACATGATGAGATGGTAACTATATTCTTCCAAAGTGGTCCATCTGTTAGCTAGAGGCTCAAAATTTCGGCGCTATAGCAGTATACGGGGGCATTTTGCAAACACCTGTCCAAGTGTCAAGTAGTGGTTTGGAACCCAGACAGAAGAGCGCCATGCTTCATGTAATACTGGTGTGCAAAACTTAGGGACGAACGTAGCTTTTCCAACGACGTGTTACTGGCGCGTAACATGACTCTATGGAACCTAACCACACATACAAAGAGCTGCCACAGGGCACTAAAGAAAGCAGTTAACAGGAACCGTTAAACGGTCCACAAAGCTATCAAAAGGTTATGATACTTCATCTGTCTCGTCCTTAAGTTTTGCACACCAGTGTAGTAAGGCTAAGCTTTTCTGAGGAAGGAAAGGGAACGGAGATGCTTGCAAGGCGCTATCGCAAGATACGGAGGCAGTGATGGCAGTGCTTTTCAAAGCGCGCAAAACATCTCCTTTCCGTCAAAAATGGGAATAAACTATAGTGAAGAAGAAGAAGAAGAAGCTATATGCTGAACAATTTCTATATTTCCCCGATGTTTCGACCCCTCCTGGGCTTAGTTCTAGAAGATGCCTCCGTATCCTGCGGTAGCATCCAAAAGGGCTAGACGTTACAAAATCAGAAGAAAAAACCACGTTTATACAAGACGCCCCCTTATATTGCGATAAACTTTCGATATTTCTTTTGAGTGCTACGGCTTATGTGCCTTTACTGTTAAATAGCATGTGTTTTTCTCCTTACTTTTTCTTCGAACTTTATCCCGGCCTTTATTCACCAAGAAAAGCAATGTCGTGTGGGAGTTAGCCCATCATCATCTATGATGTAGCGAAGTAGTTTTCCAGTAGCGAGTAGTTTCCCTGGGGAAATTTCGTAAACGGCCGCCGTTGTGTCCTCCAGTAGTTCTGCGTTTAAGCGTTCTTTAAATAGCTTAATAGTTTCGCTGTCAAAGTGCCGTCACCATTGCAATTTTCTGAAAGTTGAACCACGGCCATAGCAAAGCAGTCGGCTATCCACATAACACGGATGGCTGGATTGCTGCTCTGTTGATTAGATTTCGCACTTTTTATGAGGTTTGCTTCCGATTTCTCGGGCAAGCAAATTGGCACTCTGTGCTGCCGTCATGCTTGGTTGGAGCCTGTCATTTTGGAGACGTGAAACAGCGGCGCCTGACGTGTGCTATGGAATGGTAAATGAGGCTTTGCCCGTTCGAGCAGTCCGTTGATTTCTTTTTCTCGTTGGGCGAAATTCGTTCGGAGAAAATTCATTTCTTCTCTCGGTGAATAACGAGCACGAGAGGGATGAGTGTAAGGGATCGTGGCTGGAACAGAATGAGAACCATTTTTCACGAATTAGGATATCTTCTGATTTGTGGAATCCTTCTGTACGGATCAGAATGTTAATGCGGAATTTGGATCGGTCGCTGAAAGTGAGTTCGCAGGAAGATGAAGAAGCCATAAAAGCATTGGACAGGGAAGTGTGGAATTCACACATGGCCCATATATGCGCTCACCCTTGCCCATATCTACGGGCCATCTTCCAAACCATCGAATAGTAATTTTATTACACGCTCTCTCATATGACTGCGCCAAGAAAGGTGTGGTTTTGCGTGCAGGTTTGAAAGACTTGAAGCTACTGGAAAGTTGATGAAGAAGGTCAAACAAAAATCTTATGAACTATTAGTCATTCAAGACATGAATAACTCGTAGGCCAGACTTATGAGCTGGATAGGATTGGAGGTAGTTTTCATCTTATTCAAAAAATCTGCTCCTTCCGAAAATTAGTGCTTTTGTTACGAACCCAGATTATACCAGTACATTGCTTCCTTACATTACATTGCTTCCTGTAAGTATCTTTCAGTGGCAGTTACTTGCCGAACGCGAGTTAGATTTATCTCAGTTCCATATGGTGTCAGCTAGCGTTTCCACTTGGATGCGCTTGTGAGCCTCGCCCGCGTGAACTGGAAAGAGTGTCTATATTTTCAATTTTAAATTTCTCACGTTGCACTTGGCAAGGAAAAGATGCTGATTAATATGCAATTTGTTTGCACATATTATTTTCTTTTGGAAGTATTTTTGCACGTAGATGATTGCGGTGTTGTGGGAGGCGCTCGGATCGATGAACATGACTCCTTCGTAGTGGACGTGGAGCGATTGGCGTTGCAAATTGGGCTCGAATTGAAATGGTGCGCATTTTCCGATTGATGTGCTGTGCAGCAGTGCGGTTCAGGACGGCCGGCTAGTTGCTCTCCACTGATGACGTAGAGTGGGTGTGGGTGGAAGGAGGGAGGAGGCAGAGACGAGGTTCACAGGATGACGATGGATAGCGGCAACAAGCGGCCCGAGACAGCGAACGGAGGCAGGAGGCAAGGCGCTCCTCTCGTTCGTCCATCGGTCGGTCGATAGCCGCGACAGCAGGCAACTAGTGTGTGCTGTTTAAGCGAGCTATACCCTCGCATCTGAGCTGGTCGCACACCTCGTCTGAGCGGATTTGCGGATTTCAGGGTCCGTCGACACTCTTTTTTAGAAGAATATGTAGGAAGGATTTGCATAGTGTGTGACAACAAGGATATTCATGAAATATCCGTATCCGCTCTACCACTCATGGGCTAAAGATCATGAGGCTACGTAAATGTTGAGCCCATGCAGGTCTGCCTGCTAACAAAATTGAAAGGGTAGATGATACCTTCGTCGCTTCATATAAATGTGCGATCTCTCTGAGCTTTTTGAGAGAACTCACAGAAGTTGACTGCTGGGGCATCCAAGGCCGCTGCACATGGAGTTTCGGTGTTTCTAGTGGCCACTAGTATTGCGAGCTTATAAGTTTTTTCGCGCACGAAAGCACATTGTCCAATCCTAGTAAATCAGAGGCGGCTGCAAAGGTGGTAGGGGAGCTTTCTTAATAGCAAAGCGTGAGATTTTTTCAAAAGCGTGTAGTTAATTTAAGTAAGAAATAGAATAACGTCTGATAACGTGTTTAGATCTAGCTGGTCTTGTCTTGTAGCGAAAAAAATGAAGAAATGTTTCTTTGTAAAGTAACTGTTGAAGTACGAAAATGTTGTATCTGTATATTTGAAGTTAATGATTCGGAACACTAAAAACATCAAACATTGCGATCAGCCACCGCTCTCGAAGAAGCGTCAGATAAAACTTTAGCTTCATGGCCTTGTGTCCGGTGAAGTGCATTACTTCGCGTGGGATGTGAGTATATTGGACTGCAGCCATGGATGAAGAAGTTCAGAATTTTGAGTTTTGTTCAATAAGTGCTCGCCTTGATTCAAAATTACTGTGAGCTGGCGGCAGTCAGTGGGAGCACAATCTTCGCTCATGAAAGACGGCTGTAAATATGGACTGGCGCATCGTAGAGGAATTTCTTGGGCAAGATCAATGCTGACGACAAATACATAATCTTGAACCGACCATACTGTTTTGTAAATTGCGTGCTTGAATTCAGGCGCGTCCATTTGTACGCACGAAATGAAAGTAAAAAATAAAAATACACGAAACAGAAAGGAAAAAGCAGTTCCCAAAGAAGTCGTACAAATGCGAAGTTGAAAGTGGAAAATAATAGTTACTTTTTCAGGTGTGCAATATCCGGTGTCGGATCGGTTAAATGTAGAACAGGTCTTCGAACGGCGGACGGGGAAACCTCGCCATGATGTACTCAGAGATTATTTTATTAAGGTAAGCCTCTCGTGCTATGCCCCTTCTGTTTGTTTTCCTTTTATTTGCTTTGTGTTTTGTGCTATTACTTTTATTGTTTTCCTGAAGAGATTTCATTTTAAGGAGGGTCGTATCGAGGAAGACGCGGCTATACGTATTATCCAGGAATGTACAGCGTTATTTCGACAAGAAAAGACTATGCTAGACATTGAAGCGCCGGTTACAGTATGTGGCGATATTCACGGACAATTTTATGACCTTATGAAGCTATTCGAGGTACCCTTGCGTTGATTTTAGATTTTTTTAGACCGCTTCTCTTGAAGAGAGATCCTTTATCTTAAAAATTTTTTGTTTTCAAGCTGTAATATTGCTCAAATACTCGAGCAACTTTTATTTTGTGGTTTTTATTTCATTTGTTCAGGTCGGTGGCTCACCAGCTACAACAAAATATCTCTTCCTGGGCGATTACGTTGATCGAGGATATTTTTCGATCGAATGTGTATTGTACCTTTGGGCGTTGAAAATCTGCTACCCGAACACACTTTTCCTTCTGCGGGGCAACCATGAGTGCCGTCACCTGACCGAGTACTTCACATTCAAGCAAGAGTGTAAGTCTTTCCTCTCTTTGATGGTGTATTTTTTAGAAATAAGTATAATAGTATAGTTAGTATTTGTGATAGGATGTTTATGATGATATGATAATTTTGCTTTTGTAAATTTCGGCAACCTTTTATTCCACTGAACTGTCACTAGCCGGTCGTTCGTTGATGGTGATGTTAGTCGGCGTAGGTGCGATCGAATCCCGTGCTGTGCGCTCGGAGCGCTTAGCCAAGGGTGTGCTGACCAATTTCCAGCTTTAGAAAACATGTAGAGGCATCATCAAGAATGCTCGGTTTTAATGATAATGGATCGCGCTATGATGACGTATCGGATGCTAGGATTATATCGTGCGCTCTGATTAGCTTTTGCTAGCCGTGGTCGCCTCGGCGACAGCGGCATCCTGGGCACGCGGACCACGTATCACATTGCTGTTCTGAGTGAGGGAATATATAAAATTCAATTATGTCTCATGACCGTCGAGTACAGAAATATGTTATGCAAAATGCATGTTTTTTGATCATCAACGTTAATAGGATTGGAGTTGCAAAAATGTGATTGCATAGAAGTTTGCTAGCAAACGTATGGTGCACTAATATGGAATTTTTGGGAGTTGTACTAGATTCATTTTGTTACTTCTATGTATATTATCAGTTGCTAATTGAGAAACAAGTTGATTTGGAAAAATCACGTCATGGCCTATCTCTGTATGAGATTTGCCCCATCTTTACCAGAAATATATATTTTTATTATATAAACTCACCATATAATGTGATCACTACGTTCACTAATAAAGTAGCTATATGTGCCTGTACAGATCTGCGAAGTGGTATAATGGCAAGGGTGCCATTTATCACGCTAACGGTTCAGGGGTTAGATAAAGATTTGATCTCTCCTAGTCAACTAAGCCCTTCACCTTTGGTCGCTTGATTGATATGTGCGAACCTGGCAAGGTGGAAGGCATGGTTGGCCAGGAATGATCAAAGCTATTAGCAAGGGAAATTTTCATCATTCTCATCTGGAAGGGTGAAAATTTGACTTACTTCTTATTACAGCAAGATGTGCGGCGCATCCGGGAAAGTGACTGACTAGCGCCGAATTTTCATTCCATGCTCCATTGATATGCCTTTCGATTTCCTTAGGACCTTCCGCTGAGGGAAAGGTTTTTGCAGAGTGTTATCTATTAGGATTAGCTCCTAGTAGTACTTCAATTTTTCAATATATTCCCAAAAATTCTTAACTTACAAACTGTTTGAGAATATTTTGTCCCATGATGCAATAATATATGCTAGAATTTCTATAATTTGGTATCGTTCCTGGTACGAGCAAGAAACGCATAGCAAAGATAGACTGGTCTTCGTATATAATGAGACGACGCTTCATTCATCCCGTGGGAACCTACTTGTGAGAAGATCTCCAGGGGTTAACTCATGGCATAATAAGCGGTGGTGAGAAAACTCTGCGATGCGTCACAAAGTTCATCTTTTATTCGGAAACGTGGATGGGTGATTGCAGATGCAGCGATATAATGAGATCAACCTATAATAGGCAATGCACAGAATTTCTGATAAGTGAGAGATAGCTGTTACCAGCTTTTTACTAGCCCTAAAACTCAATTTTTGCTGTGCTTTTTTGTTGACTGTTGTTTTTTGCCGTACTTACGGGTTTATTATTGAAAAGGAAGTATTTAGCAGAGCAAAGTGGTCATTTTTTGAATTTTGTTCGAGTTTTATTTTGAGAAACCCTCAACTACGCTGTGTTTTTAGGCAAAATCAAGTATTCGGAACGCGTGTACGATGTATGTATGGATTCCTTCGATGCATTACCGTTGGCAGCGTTGATGAACCAACAGTTTTTGTGTGTTCACGGCGGACTTTCGCCTGAAATCCATACCCTCGACGACATTAAGAGGGTGAGCTTTTCATGTGCTTATCCATTAGAGGTTGTCACATTCTTTTATTGAGCGAATTTCATGAAAATATCGTTAGAGCGTGTCGTTTTACATTTACGATACTGGTGGAATACCGGGATCTTTGTCCTCCTCACCTTTTTATGTGCTGTAATTTTGTACTTTGACACTTGGTCATAGGGTACTAGTTGGTATTGATAGCTCGAAAGCGTCTGGGTTTTGTCAGCAACTTATCAAATTTATATGGTTTCGCAATCATCAAATTTGCCACCAATTGAGAAATTCGTTTCAGCTAGACCGTTTCAAAGAGCCTCCGGCGTTTGGGCCGATGTGCGATCTACTGTGGTCGGACCCTTTAGAGGATTTCGGTAGCGAGAGGAATGCTGAGCAGTTTAGTCACAACTCAGTACGAGGATGCTCCTACTTCTATAGGTGAATACATTGGTCAAATATTTCTCAAGTTTTTCTATATGGTAATGGTCATAAGTCAACCCGTACGAAGCGCTTCGCAATTCTTCAACATTGGCTTCGTGTGGCCTCATCCTCTGCCACCCGCGAGTTCAGCTGGCACGTAGCCCCTGTGCAGAGCCCGTAAGCGAGCCTACAACCAGAGTAGCGTTCAGATGCGGTTGCTTTCAAACTTAACTTGACTGCGCATATTTCCTTTTTTCAAACACATGCGTCATCAGTCAGCTATTATCGGGACAAGGAAAGCGAGGAAATTAGGAGGACTTGCCGATTTCCTCGTTTTTGCTGGGGGAGGAGAGAGTCAGAGACACATGCAATTTTATTTTTACAATATGCCATCACCTGGAGATAATTGTTACCTTTTTTATCTGTGCCATCATCTGTAATCAAGCTTTATCATTCTTATTTTCACCAGCTCCTTATTTATTCTAGCACACTTTTAACAGATGTCATGAATCCCGGCTATATCAGGTTAGGAGAGTTTTCAGGTCTAACCCTAGGGTTAGTTTGAACGAAGTTTGAGCTTTGATTTAATCTTTGCTCGAAGCGCATCAGAGCTGATTTAAAGGCATGCCCCAGGATCACATTGGTCTTGCACACGAATGCGAGCGTATTGGTACGAAATGGGCCGGCGTAAAAAAAATTGAAAGAATCCGTCGAAAACGCTTAGGTTAAGGGCTCACACACAACCCTAATCGGCTGTGCTAATGGAATGAGATACTCAGCGTGGAGAGGAGAGTATGAGGTGAGAGAGCATTACTGATTAAAGTGCGCAGAGAAGCCTGAAAGAAAGAAAAAATCTGCAGCTTCAGCAGCTTACTTTGCAAGGCCCAAGCGCTCTTGTCGGTTGGTTTCCGTGCACGGGAACGCCACATTTGTGATTGTCCTCTAAGGTCTATACTACAGACCGAAGGGAAGCGTTCACACGACCTCTGCGTGGGTTATGCCTTCAATTGGAAGACTTGATATGGGCTGAGGTTGTATGGAGTTCTTACTCTTTTCGACGGTGTTTACTCAGTGTGATGAAAATAAGATGATTAGTACCGAAAGCAGAACTTCACTATTGAAAGAGCGGTGGTCCTGAGATCATTCAATACTGTTCTAGCGTTGGTGTAAGAAAAGTTATATGGTTAAATTTTATGTAATAATTGAACGACGGGAACAGCTGTGAGAACAAAGCGAGCAAATTATTCAGTGAGTGATTCACGTTCATGTTCCCGAGAGCAATTTTGTTTAGATTATGTGCCGTAATGATAGCTCTCGCGATATTGCGCCTACAATGTATGTGTCGCTTTATGGGTAGGAAACATCAGCGCTGATACAGCTAGGGGCCTGCCAATGTAGTTCTTGGATTTGAAATATAGTAGCTTTCACATTTTTAAATGGAAAGTTCCTATTTCAGTTATGCTGCGTGTTGTGACTTCCTCCAACACAACAACCTCTTATCCATAATACGTGCGCACGAAGCTCAGGATGCGGGGTAAGCTGCTTTGGATTCGTTTTATTTTTCCATTTATTTCCCAACGGGTTACATTCTAACAAAGATGTCATCTGTTTTTGTCTGTTCTCTGTTTTTCGGCTTTTTAATTCTTACAATTTTACAGGTATCGTATGTACCGAAAATCGCAAGCGACGGGATTTCCTTCACTCATTACCATATTTAGTGCTCCAAATTATCTCGATGTATATAACAACAAAGGTGGGTTTATTTTGGTATTGTTTTATGTATATTGAAGAAGAAAGGAAGCGATCACGACAAAGAGGGGGCGCATCGGGAAGTGTATGCTCCACACGTAACAATAGCTTGGCTGGCAACGGAGCGAGGTGTAGCCCTTTCATTACAAAGGGTGCACTGGTTGCTGAGCACCACTTGGAAAGCGCCCCGCCCCTTAAGCGCTCCACCCACTAGTTTATTTGGTGAGATGGACGGGCTTTGCTGCCAGCAGTGTCACAACTAGAGCAACTTGACTGGAGCGTAGGGTCGTGGCGTGTTGCCACAACGTTGCGCATGAAGCTTCTTTCAGTACATAACGTCCACTGTCTTAGCCGTTGCCCATCTATCAGCGAAACTCAACAGCCAAACAAGAGGGTCACGTTTTGCGTCTTGTTGACGGATTTCTCTGATTTTTTTCTCCATTGGTTTGTCAGTGAGCACCTCCCTGTCCTTTTTGAACCCCTTCAGAACCTATCGTAATCGCTGCCTTCAGTGTGCAGTAGAAATAACACCACGGCAACATTCGCTTCTTACTCTGTTATTCATGAATTTTTTTTTCAGCGGCCATCCTGAAATACGAGAATAATGTGATGAACATTCGGCAATTCAACTGTAGTCCGCATCCGTATTGGTTGCCGAATTTCATGGATGTGTTCACCTGGTCTCTACCTTTCGTTGGCGAGAAAGGTTAGTTTCAATGATCATTTGTTACTATATAAGTGTAGCCAGCGATCGTCTATGTCGTGACATCGACGAATTGCGATTTTTACTTTTTTCAACACCATAGCCTGAAGAGCATCTTGCCCTGCTGTGAAGAATGAGTTATAATTCCCGTTGTTGCGGGTATGGGATATTAATTAGATTCGGTGCTCATCTTGACGTCATGCTGATAGGTTATTGCTGACCTCCGAGGGGCGACGGACTATACAATCGTCGGCTAATGAGGTCACGCCGCTCACGCGGCGAGAATCGTCGCGTGCGGCAGTTGCTGCGGCGATTTCTGTGTGGACCTTTTCTTATCCATCCATGCCATAAGTTGGCTAGGTGACTGATAACACCAGAGTGCTGGACATCAGTAAGCCAGCAAGCGTCACTGTAAGATCCCTGCAGTGATTTAAGCCTCGCAGTACAAACTGTACCGTGTAAAGGTTGTCCTTTTGGATTTCAATTTGACTTCTTTATTAATCAGTTTCCTGAATTTCTATCAGAGAGTGATAATCTGGTTCAATCGGAAAGAATATTGCGTATCAAGACACAGAGTAGCGGCGAGGAAGGCTCTAACATAAGCATGATATGATAAGTATGTAATAACGGCGAGCGAAAACGAAACTGCATTTTAAAGGGTTAAGGTGGTTCTTATTCATGTTTCATGACGGGAAACATGATCTAATCTTACATTCCCCAATGCTTGGATGCTGAGTTCTTTGCAAATTCGCCGCGATATTGCTGGCTGCGGCGGCCCGCGCGGCGACCTACTTACTGCCACGATTGTATAGTCACGCACCCTCGAGAAGCAGTACACGTCATTACCCTTGATAGATGTCGTGAATGCGGCGAATAAAAGAGCTCAATCGAAAAACCGCATTGTCTCGGAAAGGCAGTATAGATAAATATCTTAGGCTATTGAACGGTCTCGTTAACCCTATTCGCCGTAGGTTCATCAGCTCGATTAAATGCCTACTCTTCATTTGCGGCGTGCCAGATAGTGGGACAAACTTAATGCATAGCTTTTTTTGGTAGCGCGCTTGCCCGATAAGCCAAAGGTGCGGGTTCGAGTCCATTTTGAGGCGAAATTTTGTTCACAACCCAACCCTCAACCCTCTTGTGAGGCAAAATGCATACCATTCATCGGCTCACCTAACGCTGGTGACCCACTGCTCCAAAATGTTCACATAAAAGCTTTTCGATCTTATGCACCTTCCCGATGTCATTATTACGCATTTTGACGTCACTACATCTGTCAAGGTCCCTTATTTGCTGCTTACGGGGGAAGTCTGCCAGTTTAATGCCTGAATCTATTATTTAGTGACGGAGATGCTGGTGCACATTTTGAATATTTGCTCCGATGACGAATTGATGGCCGATGGCGACGACACATTCGAAGGTGCGTTTCAATACTCGTTTAAGTTTGTAGTGTATAGATAATTACCTGTCTTTTTTCAAATTAATTTGCATCAGTGTGGCTGTGGGAAAATAAACCTTGGCATGTTTCTGATTTTAAGTGCCTTTTTGAACAAGAATCATCAGCAGCTGGCTGTCGCTCATTCACCCTTTACTCTGAAGTCTCAACCTTTTGAAATTTTATTATTGGTGTATTTAAGTGTAGGCTCCTTTTTCAAATAAGAGGATAGTAGTGAAGAAAATTGGTATGTTGCGGTTCCCAATCTTTCTTGAATCGGATCTTCAAGGTACCTATTAAACACCATGGTGGCAGATGAACATATGACATTCTCATTTAATATCCTGGAGTTTTCGGGAGAAGTACTGTAGAAAGGATTTCAGTAGTGACATATCGTGCTGACTCAGAATTAGGGCTGTTTCTCTACTGGACGCAGGCAACCGTGGTCTTCCCTCTCTAGCGAGGTCAACCTCAACTAATCGTACATCGAACGAAGGTCGCATTTGCGTTTTTGAGAATGGAAGGGTCGAGATGGTTTGAACATGTTAAATACCATTGGAAAACGTGAAGTGGGTTAAGACGGGGCTATATTCTGGCGGTTCATTCTGTCCAAAGTATTATATTAAGAAGGACAAGAATCCGGGATTAAAGCGCTGTCACGATACATCCACGAAGTGATTCACACCTCCCCCCTTCACAACGCCCAGCGGTATTATCGAAGGAAAAGTGAAAGTGAACGTGCTCTAACAGAATCAAATGTTAAGCAGCCATGATGGTGACACAGTGAATGATCGTGGGTAGGGAGGAGGTCGTTATTCGGGCCTTTCTACAGCACTGAATGAGGATGAGGTGGGGCGTCGCATAGACACCCCCGTGAAAAAGGTAAGACCACAGTTTTTGGAAAAGTGTGGACGCGACGGTTGATCCCGCATCTGGTTCTACTGTAATGCACTTGGTAGAACTTTCATACAGAAACCAAGTGAAATGGAGCTGAAGTAGTGGAAGTGAAATGAATCAGAGATTCGGATGACCACGTGACGGGAAGCAATGTTGAGAGCGATGCTTCCGTCGGGGGCAATTTTAGACAGTGATTTGCCACTGTATTACAAAAGTACCTATAACTCGGAGGCTCGCCCAAAGCGACTCGCAGCGTGCGGTGCGCAGTGCATGTGGCTGAATTACACTCAACAAGCGTTAAACGCTCTAATATTATAAAAGGACAAAACTAATGGCGTTTGAAGAGGACAACCAGTTGCTGATAATTTCGTGCTTTGTCTAAAAATTCATTTAATTCGATATTTTTATGCGGATAGTCAAGCAGTCCGGCAAATTCACCATTCAACCCGTCCCCGTTACCCTTTTTAGTAGAATGCTAGTGTTTCCTTCTTGCTCCTATCGATCTGTCGTCCGTTTTTGTCATTTTCCTCTATTCTGTCCCCCCTCTGGGTAGGCGTGCTGTTCTCTGTACTTTTTCGTAGTTATACACTAGGCGGTTCTAGAGGCGTGTCCGTTTTGATTTTACGCATGCTGTTTGGGGTCGATATGATATATTCATATATCTACCCTTTTTCATAACTGTGTTAGTTAATGATAAACAACAGTGCATCACATCAGTCTTTGGTCGTGAATAATTTTCAGGCACGGTTCCACGTTTCAAGGGCGGTTTAGGAACTTTTCAATGTAATTAGGCACAATTGGTGATAATGGAGTGGAGCGTTCGTCTAGTCTGAAATAAAAACAGCCATCGTGGCGGCTTTTGGAATCGGCAAAAAACAAATTTGGTGAAACTCCAGTTCGGGGGGGGGGCACTCCATTGCTATCTTATCCGTAGTACTAGAGAGCAGTTCTTTGGGCTATCGAACACTACGGATAAGATAATAAGTGAACGACTCATTTCGAGCGTACTTTTGATAAGGACCGGTGGATGTCCTACATTCCACACTACCTGCCCACATCCCATCCACTTTTCTGCACAGGTGATCCACCCTGGAGCTCCTGCACCCTTAGCCCTTTGCGGAGGTGTCCTTTCTCCTAGTCCAGGACCGT